GGGCATTGAGTTTATGGTAATGACGGCAGAACAATTTGGAAAAGGATCTCAATAATGGTTGTGCAACCGGAAGAATACAAACAATGGCACCGGGTTATACACATAGGAGTTATTGCACCGGGTTATACACGTAGGAGTTATTGCATTTGTTAGGCATATTTTGGCACATTTTTTTTTAATTACATGATACAAGAAAGAAGAAAATGTTCTAGAATTGATTGTAGTGATGATTGGACAACTCTTCTTGATATGATGGAATTACTGAATCATATGACATGTGGATGAAGAGCCAATAAAACCGTTAAAAAGAAAGTTAGTGTGTACTTATAGTTTTAAGGAGCCCTGCTGGTTTAGTGGTTAAAGTACTTAGCTCCTAGCTGAATGGCCATAGGTTCAAACCCACCAGCTGCTCTACTGGAAAAAAGAAAGTTAATGAGCCCATAGTTAGATTATATTCCTCATTCACAAATGCATTTAAAATATAAATACATCAATTTCTCCTCATCAGGATGGTATAGGGATTAAATGTTTCAAAAACAAGTAATGTATTTTAATGCCTTATGCAACACAAAGTAAGCACTTAATAACTGTCATCATGTGGTAGAGAGATTCAACTGATGCCTCACGGGCCAAAACCAGTGAGAATAGGGGACAGCTGAGTAAGAGGTAGATTCTAGGCTCAACATAAGAAATACATTTTAGTAATTAACACCGTAGACAGAACTCAATGTGTGCCTGAAAAATATTGAATGAATGAGGGAGAAAAAAAACAATGAATAAGCATTTCAGAGAATGGAAGGGTAACATCAGGAAGACATATGTTTCTCATCACTGGATTATTTCAACAGATACTTGATGGCCACTTATGACAAATATTAGTAGAAATTTAAGTGTAGTTGGGAGGCTGGCTCTTAGAAACAGAGCCATTATGAACTTAGGTTCTAGTGACCTCCTGTGTAACCTATGCTTTACTGATGGTGGAGCTAGAGGATTCTCAATGTCCCCAAAATAAAAAAAGTAGGGGGTGGAATACCTTCAGCCAAGCTCACTTGATGAGCCAAACTTCTGAGAACTTTCTACCAAATGCAAAAACATTTATAATCACACTTCTCGGGGAATGCCCCCATCCAAGCTATGGTGACCCTTCCCTAGACCAATGTGCTACAGAGGACAGCACTATAAATACAGATGGGGGAAGAGACCGGTCTGTCCTGTCCACACGAACACAAACTAAGAGGGAAAGAGAGAGTGTGGACCTCATCCTGGCCCATCAAACTTTGAAGGTGACGCTCAGGGCAGTCAATACACAGAGAGGACCAATACACCATAAGGCCGGCCCCAGCTCGAGACATGTCATCCCCTCACTGGCCCATAGCACTACAGAGGACAACACTGGAAACACAGGGTAGGAAGAGAGTCCTGTGTGACATATATATTACACACATACACACACCCTGCCCGTGGAGCGAATCATGATAACACCATAACAGATCAGCAAAGGGAGCAGTGTTAGAAGTGCCTGAGGAATCCCAAAAATAGACTTCTGACTAGGGGGGAGGCGGGGGGCACAGTACTTGGCACCTCACCTGACCTGGTTGAGAGATATTCACGAAAGTCGACAGATAAACCTGGAACTGTTAGGAAGTCTAGCATAGGCGCTGGGGCGTCCATTACGCCCATTGGTCCGAGCTACGGAAACAAAGGCGTGGCACACTGCGCATGCTCAGAGGTTCAGGTTACCCGCCAGGTACCTGTGGGTGGGTGCTGCACCTGGATTGCCCCACCTAGGCCAGGTGAATTCAATTCAGCCAATGGGGTCGACCAGGGGTCGTCCACCACGCCTCCCCACAGAATAATTGAAAAGGCAGGAGCCCGGAGTCGACCGAGTAACTTTGCGAGCAGTTTCCAGGCAGGCTGCATGTTCGGAAGCAGCCCTGTGGGGGCCTGTGTAAACCTGAAACTTCTCCTATCGCTCATAAAACTCACTTGGATCACAAACCAGGCTTCAGCGTGAATTCTTTCTCACGCGGAGCCAAAGACCAAGGTATATCTCTCCCCCTGAGAGATCTAACAGAACTATGTAAAGGCTTTTCCTTTTTATTTATTTATATCATATGTCTACCTATATAAAATAGGCAGGATAAATAATCCCGAGGAGAAAAACAACAGGACCAACGGTTGTGGGTGGGGGGCGGCATGGGAGAGGAGGAGGTGGAGGAAAAGGAGCAGTGAGCCAACAAATTCAGGGGACAGGGAAACATCAAAGGATCTAAAATTGACGGGGCAGATTGGCGGTGTTTGATCAATTGAAATGTATCCGAGGGGAATTACTAAGAGCCAAAAGAAGGGTGAACATGCTGGTGGGGCAGAAGAAAAGTACAAGGAAACAGAGGGAAAACTAGGAGGTAAAAGCTAGATATAGAGGTATAAATATAGACATGGATGTACCATATGTGCCCGCGTATAAGCCGCATTTTCAGCGCATTTTTCATGCAGTCATTGTGGTAAAATTAGGTGCCTTGGCTGATATTCAATTCCGTTTACATTCAAGGGCATAGGATATGTAAATATATTAATATATAAATATAGGGGAATTATATTTATATGTTTATATATTTATATATATTTATATGTTAACGCACTAAGGTACCAGATGGACTTTGGGCCTCTACTTAAGTCTTCCCTCAACACAAGGACATTTTGTTCTAATAATGTGGCACTGTGTGATACTCACCTTCCCAACACAATCACTGAAGACAAAATGGGTGCATAAACAAATGCGGTGAGGAAAGCTGATAGTGCCCAGCTATTAAAGGATATAGCATCTGGGGTCTTTTTTTTTTTTTAATCATTTTATTGGGAGCTTGTACAGTTCATTGCAATCCATACACCTATTGCAGAGGTTCTCAATCTTGGGGTCGCAACCCCTTTGGGGTAAAATTACCCTTTCACAGGGGTCACCTAAGACCATTTTCCCAGTGGTCTTAGAAACCGACACACCTCACCTCTGTCTCCAGGCAGATCCGCCCACATGCCAGTACGCCCACATACAGGGTCACCACAACATGAGGAACTATATTAAAGGGTTGCGGCATTAAGAAGGTTGAGAACCACTGATCTATTGTGTCAAGCACATTTGTACATTTGCTGCCGTCATCATTTTCAAAACA